AGGGGGGGGGGGGGAAAAAAGCAGCTAATGACCCTGCCAGAGGGGCTTTCCAAGATCCCACTGCAAAATGCCTGGATCACTAATGTGCACATAGTTCATCATATAAAATGTGTAATTTGAAGTTTGGCTCCACAGATGTTATGAAGAAATAGTTCTTTTTGACGACAGACAGAACCCAGCTAGTCATGGGTAAAAATGCCCGTCTGACTGAGCTCTGGCTGCAGCCAGCACAGCTCATGACAAGCCATAAGTCATATATGACTTAATGATAGAGGCTAAAGGAAGAATAAGGGGCCTATCTGCTCAAGTGTGATATCATTTCTGTCTGCATCACCGCCTCTCTTACATTAGTCATAATAGTGGGCTTTGCACTTGATACGTGATGGAAAAATGAGTGAGAATCTTTCTCAGGTTAATTCCCACGCTGGTCGTCTGGCTCTGGCCTTCAGGTACAAACACTGTCATTTAAAGATTACATCCAAACACTATTATTTGTCTCCACCCAGATGCACTTAGACGGATAAATTCCTGTTTACAGATGGTTTGATATCACAGCCGCTCACTAAGATCACACTGTGTGTAGCGTTGGTCCATTTTCTTAAGACATTTCTGTTCTTTTAGTACCAATCACATTTACTCAGCCAAGTTTTCCAACTGTGTGCTGCGATAGTATTCATCCATAAATGACATGTACAAATTGCTGTAACATCTTTTGACAGCTCTTTCTCCCCAGAACTCTTTAATAAATCTCTCCTTATCCTGTCACTCTCTGAATTATCACCAATGCTCCACTGGGGCGCTCCTCTTGCTTCTTCTGTTCCCTTTCTAAATGCTCATATTGAGTTTTTCTCTCTCTCGTTCTCTGCCTTCTCTCTTGACAGATGATAGACAAGAGACCGCATTGAACCTGTCTACCAACGGCATTAGCAGCATCAACATGTCAATAGAAATAAATGGAGTTGTCTACACAGGTAAAGAGAGGGGCCGTTTGCTGATGTAATTGCAGGCAGGAAATTCAATAAGTTATAGCAGCACCCTGGTGCTTAGTCCTCTACGCAATTTGATGTCTTTGCTATAAAATCCATCGTAATGAAGTGGCAGTCCAATAGAGTTAAAAAAGTTAAATATCTCAAAATTGGGCCTGTGGATTGGAGGTCGATAAGGCTTATTGTCTTATGTGCCTGCCTAGTGTGTGTGTGTGTTTGTGGGTGTGTGTGTCTGTGTGTGTGTAAATGGAGGTAGTCTGTGTATTAAAGAAAAGAAAGCTCTCCACTTTAACATACAGTAGGCCATTCATGTCAAAGTATAAGGTGACTGTGACGTCCTATCTGACAGTGGTGACTTGATCCAGGTCATTCTCTCACAAGCTGAATCTCATGTCTCTGCATTTTAGTCTGTAGATAAGTGTATAAGTCAAAACACAGACAAGTGACAAATAAAAAGAAAAACCCAACACAAAGAGTGTCAGTGAGGTGCTGGCCCATCACGTGGCACCAGATCAGCTTCAGTGCACCTTGGCATTGACTCTCCGAGTCTCTGAACTCTACTGGAGAGATGAACACCATTCTTCTAACAGATATTCCCTCATGTGGTGTTTTGATGATGGTGGTGGAGACGCTTTCCAACACATCACTCCAACATCTCCCATAGCTTTTCAACAGGGCTGAGACCTGGTGACTGGGAAGGCCACAGCATCTGATTCACATCATCTTCATAAACTATTCGTTGTCCACTCGTGTCATCCTGGAAGAGACCACTCCCATCTGCATAGAAATGTTTCCCCATAGGATAAAGGTGATCACTCAGACCTACTTAGTACTGATTTTCAGTGACCCTTCTCTCTAAGCGGACAAGTGGACCCGATCCATGCCAGAACCTGCATTCATTTGTTCAGGTTTTTCCTTTAATTTGTCACTTGTCTGTATATCAGGTAGTTCTGAAGATGATTTATATTGAGAATAATACTGCAAGTCCTTAAACAGCCATAAATGTCTTCAATTCAAAGGTGCATAAGTTATTAGCATTTCAAATTTTTTTCATTTATTTGTTTTTTTATCAGAATTATCCAGTTTCTTTAGCAGAAGAATCAAATGTTCTGATGACCTGTTACAATTAAACAGTGTCAGTTTTGTGTGAGTTTATTACCCTAGTCACAAAGGACTTTACAGTGTGTGCAACATTCAATGAAAAGAGAGAATTCTCAGGAAAAACAAGAGAGGGGAGCCCTTCATCCAGGAAAGATGTCCAGCAGTGTGTATGCAATAGATCTTCTACTGTATATACAATATAGAGTGGACAGGGGTAGCAGTAAAGCTAGACAGAATGATTATATTAAAGAAGTAAATGGTATGTACAGTTAAATAAACCTTGTAATTATGCTAAACCTAATCATACATTAAACTGATCAGCATGGAAAGACCTGTTCTATATAAACTGTAGTTGCCATATTAGTAGTAATACTACTGTGTTTTTAGAACTCAAGGATCAAATTATTCTGACAACTTCCATGCTAGAGCGATGTTCGACATGTAAGGGAGTGGGAATGTCAGTCACTGACTGGGGTAACCACAGGAGGGGTGTCCTGAGTTCTGTTGTTTTTAAACATCTGCAGTTTATTACCCCGAATAGTAACAATAATTTCTTAGATAAGTTTAAATTTTCTGCAAGTAGAAATGTTGGCTGCCTGGGAGGTATTACAGTGGTGTGTAGCAGTGTGATATCATTTGTAGTAAACAGATTAAAACACATAATGCTGACATGTTTGTTTTTTTTTCTCTTAAGAACTGACTTAGGC